GGCCGCCGGCCGGCGCGCGCAGAGGCCAGCGCCCAAAGCAGGGCAGCGGCCTTCGTCTCGCAGACGTTGTCAGGTCCCAGGTCTTCAGTAAGGCTCGTCCGGTCAGGAGAAACGCCGGGGACCAAACAGGCACCTGGTTCAAACCGGTCCACTGCCCACAGCAAGGCCACGGCGGAGAAACACGTCATACTACTTATGCTGCGTCTTTTATTTAAGTTAAGAACCAGAGCACAGTTGCATACATTTGTCGCCCCGTTCACATAAAATTCCCAGTCGCAAATCATTCACATACAGTCTCGAGGGGCCAAGATCCCAATCGCCACGGGGCCGAGACAGCGTCCTTCCGCGCGTCACCTGCTGCCCCACACTGGGGCCACACACCGGGCGCACTGGCTTCGCATGAGCTGTAGCCACGGGCCAGCAGTGACCCCCGGAGCGGAGGTCCGGGCGGGGGTGGCCGGACTCTGCCGCGGCGGCCCGTGGAAGGGAGCAGTGTGGGCCAGGCACACTGTCACGTCCAGCACACGGAGGCGTGTTCTACTGTGGCGGTAAACGTGGGCCAGATTTTTTTTGATCGGCTGATTTGTTTTCGGGCCGTGAAACCTCATTCCGCGTCTCCTCACTATCAACGGCCAGACGGCGTCCTCCCTGAGCTGACGCTAACCGCAAGGAGACCTCTGCTCACAGCGTTCCCGCCGGAGAGGCTGCGGCCCGAGCCCGAAGCCCCCAAGCCCAGCGGAGGCGGCGGCTAGCGGCGCCTCTGCGGAAGCGGACCCTGGCGTCCCCTTCCGTGACAGGGCCCGCCAAGAGCATGCCGGGACGAGTGGGACTCCGGCTGCTCGGGGCCGTCGCGGACGCGCCTCGCTCCCAACGGGTCACCCCAGCTCGCGTCACAGAGCACGCAGGGGCTCCTCCTCCCTCGGCGTGGGGCGCGGCAGCCGTCGTGGTCTCCCAGGTCGGGGCTGTCTGCGTGCGCGGCCGCGGTGTCCGCCGGGGGCGTCCGGCCAGGCGGCCTCAGACCAGGTAGCGGGTCTCCTCCTGCAACTCGCACGCGTCCGCCGAGTCAGCGACCCAGGCCTCCCGCAGGATCTTAAACTTGCGCTTCAGAGTCCTGCGCACGGCTCTGAAGTCCGCCACCCGGCTGCGGTCCTCCCCGACGATGACGTGGGACACCCCTTCGGCCAGGCGAGGGACCACCCTGGCGCCGTGGAAGCGAAGCTCGCAGGCCGCCGCCGCCAGCCGG